TAAGGTGACTAGTCGCTTTTTATACCCGTTCGGGTATAAAGGTGAACAATTAGTGTCTTCATAGGACATGCCCGAACAAAAGCGATCAGTTGATTCCATATAAAGAGATCAAAAGTGGTATTAGTCGCATGCTCCTTTGCGATTGCTCCCGGAGTCATCCCGGATTAGTCCCATTTTTTGCAGGGATACGATAAGAATGTCCAGTGCATTCGACACACTAAAGTAGGTAATTAAGTAGGTAAACGTTCGCGGGAAACAATAAAATATTGAATCGGTTGATCCTTTATCAGTTGTAAAAATATAAACACACAAAAAATGCAGCGCATACGGGAAACATTAAAATGTCAATGCTGCAAAGCAACCCTTATTGTGCTACAAATAGAAAATACATTGCATATCAATATTCTTTACATGCAAAGATGTAGCAGAGGCACACAACCAAAATACCATAAGAACCAATGCACTGGTTTCTTATTTTATCTTTTGTAAATATACATACATACACACACACACATATGTACATATACAATTACCCAATTTGCCACAGGGCGAAGACGACGTCGTTACGACGTCGCTCTGGCGAAGTCACTTTGATGAACTCGAAACGACGTCGCTCTGGTGAAGTCGGTTGGGTGAACTCGAAACGAATCCGTTTCTTCGAACCTACAAGTTTTTTGAGGAACCTTCGGTCTAGGTTGGACAAGTTCCACGCCCAAATTTGTATATATCTAGGCATAAATAAAAGTCATTCATTTGGATAGTAAACCGTTTAATTATGACAATTTTTTATCATGACAGAATATGGAATCCACAATGTACACTTGTGCTCAGAAAATTAAGCCACCTACATCTTTTTCCAGTATTCATAATATTTCTCATATAAAATGTTTTTTTTATAAAGGTAAAGTTCACTCTATTGGCCTTATTAATAAAAAATAAAATTTGTGGGAATAATGTTTTTTTTTACTTTGGTAGAAAACTGTACTTTTACTTTACAGCGTGGCGACGAACAACTGTTACCCAGGTTTGTTTGAGAAATAAAAGGGTCCTTTAAAGATTTTGCGAAAAAAGTATTTTATTGTTAATTTTCCACAGATTTTACTTTAGTCGGATTAATTAGTGTTTAAATTGTAATCCTTATTTACATTTGCCAGCAGTGTAAACTTTGAGAGAAAAGTTCATTTGGCACGCAAGTCTTTTTCAGGTGACAGAAGGTAGAAGTACGCTTCAATTGTTGATGCCCAGCTCTCAAAAATGATTAATATACTTTAAATATTATTTCAGAAGCGTTCCAGCAAAAATTCAACGAATCTGTGGAAATAATAGAGCGAATAACCAAAAGATATTTCCATTATGCTGGAGACAGGATCTCAAAACGGAATAATAGAAATGTTTCACAGTCGTCTGCATAAATATACTATCTGTCATATTGATAAGTTTTAACAATTTATTTTTTTGTTACTTCATTTTAGTTATCTTTATAAAAATTGGGTTTGTTTTTTAACATGGACCATATAGTTCAAAATTCAAAATTGCGCAATATACATATGCATGTATGTACATATAAAAAAAATTAACAAGCTTTTATAAAAATTTTAAGATTTTTATTCTACATTAAAGAAACACATATGAAGCAGTTTTAAAGTCCATTGAAGTTTGGTATGTATAATAGAATACACGGTTGAAGTGCCTCAAAGCATGCATTTTCTGTCATAAAATTCATATGGATGAAAATGCGCAGTACCGCAAAAAAATAACACCAAAAATCAATGTGAGTTTTGTGTTACTTCTGTGTTCTATTATATTAACATTTTATGGACTATAAAACTGCTTCCTATGTGTTTCTTAAATGCAGATTAAAAAGCTTTAAATTTTTATGAAAGCTTGTTGAAATTTTTTTATATATACATATATATGTTTGTATGTATACTGCACATTGCTTTAATTTTGAACTACATGATCCTTGTTAAAAAATAAACCCAATTTTAATTAATTTTAAAGATAACTAAAATGAAGTAACAAAAAAATTAATTGTTAAAACTTATATTATATTAAAATATTTTAAAATTTTTGTTTATATTTTATGACCTTATTTTTCTTTTTTATTAATATTTAAGTATTTATGTATATTTAAAAAACTTTGAAAAAAAATTCAATGAATTAAATTAAACTATTTTAGACTAAAAAAATTGTTTTTAATTTTCTAGCAACTTTGAGCGTCGTTTTGCAGTTCGCTGTTATGTCGTTCTTGCGGGCTGCAGGGGAGTCGTTTTTGCGACCCGCCGGTAAGTCGTTTTTGCGACCCGCTAGCGAGTCGTTTTTGCGACCCGCCGGTAAGTCGTTTTTGCGACTCGCCGGCGAAGTGTGCTTTTCATCCGACGGCGAGTTCGCCGGCGAGTCGTTTGCGACCGTCGCCGGCGAACAAATTGTTCACCAAAACGAGTCGTTACGACGTCGTTTGGCAAATTGGGTAGTTAGGAAGCGTAAAGTAAGAAAATCCTTACTTCCTTACTAATATTATAAATCTGAAAGTGAGTTTGTTTGTTTGCTACGCTTTCACGCTTTAACTACTCAACCGATCATCATGAAATTTTGTACACTGGTGTCTTTTAGCCCAACTTAAAATATAGGATAGATTTAATCTCGATTAGACGAGGGGCGTGGCACCTCCCCATACAAACGTAATTTTTCATACTGCATATCTCAGGAAATATTTGTGATAGGGTACTGGAGCTTGGTATGGAGATATATTAAATCACTTCCATATTCATGAAGGATGGCTGCCACCTGTTTAAAAAATCAAATTCAACTTGAAGTAAGGGAATTATTTATTTGAAAATTATATTAAAAAATGTATGCCAAGAGGCTTAAAAAAATGTTGTTTGAAAATATTTTGAAAAGGGTTACCACCTGTTTGAAAAGTCAAATTTAAATTAATTATTCGCAAGCTATCTGAAAAATTAAAATATGGCTAGCATACGAAAGATTATTACGAAATCTGCAGATTGAACATTTACAAAAGTAATGAGGTGTTTTACAATGGTTGCCCCCCCGTTTAAAAATTAAAATCAATAAATTTAATTTAATTACTAAAATACGGGTACCAATCGAAATGTTTTTGAAAAGAGTTTTAGTTCTAAACTAATGTAGGAAGGTTGCCACTTGAGTTAAGGGAATCAAGTAATTGGAATATGTTCATAATATCGGTGTTGGACGAAAGGGGTTTAATCAGGGCTACCACTGAAACCGTCGTAGGCCGAATTTTCTCGAAATCTACGAAAATGCTATCACTAATTCTGAATAGATACGAATGAAGCACACACTTTGAATGCATTGGGATTCAGTGATCGTGTTTTCGTAGATTTTACGAAAATCGGACTACGATGGTTTCAGCGATAACCCAGAATAAGGTTTTCGTTGGAAAATATTTTGAAATGGGATGCCACCTGTTTTAAAAGTCGAAAGAAATTGATTATACTCAAGTTTATGTGTCAAAAGTAAGAGTGTTTTGAAATGTTCGGCATGAACATGCAGAATTTTCTGAGGTATTTGAAGGGGCTTACCACCTGTTTCAAAACTAAATTCAAACTAAGTTAAATGAGTTATTACGATATTAATCGAAAGAGTCTCGAAAAGGCTTTATTTCTAAGCTACATATGTATAGCAGGGTTTCCACATGTTTAAAAATTCAAATTCAACTTTAATTGTCAGGCGAAAGTGATTTAAAAAGGTCGCCAACTGTTTAAAAATTTAATTCAAACTATTCAATAATTTCAATGAATTATTTATATTTGGGTCATTTCTAAACTACATGTAAATAAGAAAACATATAACAAGAGAGAGGTTTAAGAAAGTCTTAGTTTGAAAATATTTTGAAGATGGTTAAAAAAATTTTAAATCTTCTGTCTTTGGCATATTTTAAGTATACTGAGTCTTATTGAAAATACACATAATGTAGCACGCAGAAATTTCATGCACTCAGCGAAGCGGGTGAGAGCAATCTAGTATTTAATAAACATTCAGAACCGAAAAGATTCTCAAATAACACTCTTCTTCTTCTCTTTTTTATTTTATATGCCTTACTTCCCCCCACCAGAGGTAAGAGGTAAAGCATTTAATAATCTTCATTCTTCTTTCTTTATTAAAGTTTTACTTGACCCCACCAGCGGTAAGGGGTAAAACTTTTAATATTGAAAGTACTAACCTCTTATTTTATTAGACTCTACTTCCCCCCACCAGTGGTAAGGGGTAGAGAATTTTAAAATAAGAGTATTTGTAGTTCAAGCATTGCTGAGAGGTAAGGAACAAGTGACTCAGCTCTGCAACGAACGTTTTGGTCCTTCGAGCCGGAACAAAAACGAATTGATATAAACCTTCTTATTTCTCAGCATTTGTTTTGTGGAATTTAGGTTTTTCTAGCGGGCTTTTATAAACATATGGATTTTTTTACTCGAAAATAGTTGGCAGCACTGGTCACGAGGTCAGCTTCTTATTGTCACGAAAGTGGATCAAAACTAAAGATAAACGATGGTGTTCATGATGCAACAAGTTAGATTGTGAATTACTTTCAGAAAATGGCAATTAATGCAAAACGTTAAGAACCACGGTTCGCATTTCTTAGAAGGACGACTAGAAAATGGTAGTTTTCTCCAGCGAGAACTTTAGTTTAGATGGCTCCAACGGATTTGAATATTTTTTTGGAATAATTTCCACGATCTTTTTGATTCCCCTCCACACAGGATCTATGAAAACAAGAATAACGGAGAGAAGTCGTAATTTTTTCAGCGTTCACCCTATTTACATGACTAAAACTTAAGTCAAAATGTTTCAATTTGAGTGCAAATCTGCAAGTCACACAATCCATTTTATCATTGGCTGTTGGTTCTTCCGGCGCTTAAAGTGGTAAGAAGCGAGAAAGCCTTGTATAAGAATGCAACGAAATACCTTTTGCGGTTCACTTGACATGGATTTACTAAAATTGTAGAAAAAACAACAAATACCTTGAAATTCATCAAGCCAGTATGGCTGACGATGATGTTCTGTAGCAAGAACCCCAGTATTTAAAAACACCAATATTATAATAAGCCAATAAAAGGCTTGTGATTTCACAGCCTTTCGACAGGACCTCCTCATCCTACGATTTAAACGATCCAAATCTTTCTTCTTCTTGCGCCACCACGACTCAGATATTTGAACTTCCTGGCCTTCTTCTTCCAATTGATCCGACGAATTTATCTCATTGGACTGTTTTGTTTTACCATCCTGCGTTAAATTACCATCCACATCTGGTTCAATATCTTCAGCTTGAGTAATCCAATCCAGGTAGCCCCGTACGTCCTCCTCAATTTGTTGCTTCTCTCTAAGTTTCTGAAAATCTCCACGATTTTTTGCTTTTGTTCGTTCCTTTGAAAATTCACCAGACAGCACACCAAGAATTAAATTCATTACAAAAAAAGCACCTAGGATAACCATTGAAACAAAGTATATCCACTGCCAGGTACTACCCATGGCATCTTGTATCTATTAAATAGGGAATAAAAATAATTAAAAAATATTGTGTTATTATATTATTATTGGGGTATTCACAACGGTGTCGTAAGTGTCGTATCGTTGTATGTCGTAAACTTTAAACGGCTAAGAATTATATTAAGGGAGTTCGCAAAGTACCATCAAAGTCATATTATGATTTTTTGTAGTGCTAAAAAATAGTTGATTGTCGTTTCAAGTTCTCTAAACATTTATTTAAGCTTTTAAAGTTTACGACATACAACAATACGACTCTTACGACACCGTTGTGAATCGCTCATATATTTCAGAGAATGTCTGTACATTGCTTTGACTTACGTCGTATAATACATCTGTCCAACCTTCAAGTGTAACACATTGGAATACAGTTAACATGGCCAGACCAAAGTTGTCGAAATTTGTTATTCCATAATTAGGACCGTCCCATTTTTCATGACAAACATAATCGTCAGGACATCGGAAACCTGTACCACAGGGATGCTCATCCTCCATTATCTCGCCTTTGAACATCAGAAAAAAATATATAAAAAACTTTGAGATTTATTTTGGCTCTTAAAAATAAAATCAAACAAACCTGTGTCCGGGCGAAGACATGTTTTATGCAGCTTTCCCGAAAACAGTTCTAGACCAATAATGGCATATATAATAATAACAAATAATACTAACAACGCAATATGTAGGAGTGGTATCATTGCCCGCAAGATCGAATTTAGCACAACCTGTAAACCTATAAATATAAAAAAATTTAATTAGTGAATACACACTGAAAAGATAAGGCTTTCGCGGAAACTGTTATATGTACATAATATAATAACTATTTAATCCCGATCCCGCCCATCCCGAAATTCGATATTTAAGTCCCGAACCCGACCATCCCGACGTTTTTCAGAGTTGTACCGCGGATCCCGTGGATCACGATATCTATTTCTAAAGCAGGCTTCAAAAAGACAACAAATTGAAACGATCGGTTGAGATTTCAACGTGTGTGGCGTGGTTTGCAAACCGATCGAAACTTGACAAAAATGTTTATGTCTTTCAAATAAATTTTAAATAATAAAAATAATAATGAAAGATCTGGCATCTTCCGATTATTTTGTTTTGCTTTGATGTTCGTTTTCGTCTCAATAAAACATTAAAAGTGCATTTTTCAAACATCGTTTTTAGGGAAGATTTTGGGAATTTGCGGGGTTGCGGTTTTATCGGGAGTGTCGGGAAAGGATTTTCAGAAAGTGTTATTTTTATCACTTGCGAGTAACGCAGAACGAGAATTGACCCTCAGGAATGTTAACCGTGAAACACCTGGATTTATTGTTTCCGGGCTTGTTAAAAACAAATTTTTTTCAAGCTAAGGCTCTCTGCTTATAACACGTCTAATCATAGTAGTTATGCCGAAACGAATACTTGACCTTACTTCTTGCGCGTCCTGCATAATTCACCAACTAATAAACTCGTACATTTTTATGCGTTAGCATTTTAATGTTAATACATTAATTTTCCAAATTTATTGCGTTAATTTTGAAAATTGAATTCTTAATACAATTTGATTGCATTACTTCGAACAAACTAATGCTGTCTATATTTTTTTGTTTTAACATTAAAATTTTCTAACTAATGTTATGCAATAATTTATTGCATTAAAAGTATAACAACATTAAAAACACATGAACTTATTTTAATTTGGGCCAAAAATCCTTTGTTTTTGTATTTTATTCTCAACTAGCAACCCGCCCCGGCTTCGCACGGAAATAAAATATAAGGCCTATGTCACTCACTGAAAAAATGATTAAAATCGATCCCGTAGTTTTGATTTATTCATTACTGCCCGTGGCCCGCACGCGTTACATTTGGAGTAAAACAGTTCCCCTTTCTTTATACCATGAAGATTTCCTGCTATCTTTGGAATATCTAACGCGCGCTCCGAATCAATAAAAACTATTCAAAAACTGTATTTTAATTATGTGCGATTTATTAATATAGAACGTGAACAGAGCGGTTTATTTCGCTGAAAAAACACTCACAACTAAAAATTTTTCAAATTTGGGTTTTCTGTATAAAAACCCTCAATGCAATGGAATTCAGTACGGCAATAAAGACATGAATTGAAAATACATACATACATACATACATACGTCCGAAATTTAATTATGCGAGAGATTCGTACATATGTACTTACATACATACGTACCGAGTTCTTTCACCATACAATCTAATTCGACATGAATGAGGTGGGGTGAGATTCCCGCATAACTTCTAATGTTTCATTCGGTTGACAGCGAACAAACACACAAACAGCTTTTTTTGGAAAAAGTGCTGCTTTTGTTTAAACAATTTTGGTTAAATAAGATATGAATCAACTATTTTTTTTGATGCAGAACGAATGTAAATATTTCAAAGTTTAACTTCAAGTAAGTTTCATTTTAATCGGTGGATTCTTTTATGATTTATGGCTGTGTAAACAAAAAATTTATGGGTTTTTACCACATTTTGTCCGATTGCCACGCCCCCTTTATATATTTCTTCACATTATAATGACATAAACCTTCCTCTTCAACCAATCTATCTATTAAAAAAAAACCGCATCAAAATCCGTTGCTTAGTTTTCAAGATTTAAGCATTTAAGGGGACATAGGGACAGAAAAAGTGACTTTGTTTTATAATATGTAGTGATTTGGTAAATTTTGCATCACAAAAATGTGGAGAAATGGCAATTCCGCAAAAAAAACTCTCGCTTCAACTATACATGCAGTGACCAACCGTCCTGTATTGTACGGGACCGTCCTAGTAATTTATTTAATTTATATGTATTTTCTTTAAATTCCTGTATTTGTGCCATATCCCATGATCAGGGTTACCACTGAAAAACTCTCTTTCCTACCAAGATCTGGTTCAAAAACCTACCAAAATGGCTTCTTTCCTACCATTTAAGAAAACGGTGTTTGACGGCAGTAAATACATTTTTTTTACTGGTTTTTATACTTGAAATCAAATTTCCAGGTAAACAAAAATCAGAATAATAATTGGTATATACATACATACATATTTAAGTACATATTATACATAGAACACAAAAAATTGCTGTGTGCTTTTAACCAGACCCACCTACCGACAAGTAATTCGACCCGCTGAACCCGAGGTCCGTTTGACTTCTACTCCCTCAAAATTTCGAGTAAATTGCGAAAAATGGCAAAAAATCACATAGTTTAAAGTTTTAATAAAGCCTTCGGAGTAAACGACGTGATAAATCGGAGCAGAAAACGAAATTCCGACGTAGAATTTTTATATCGCTGGGTTCGGGACCCGCCAAGTAAAAACTACTTCCAGTGAAGAAGCAAGGCAAAGCCTCAGATGAGACCCCTAACCCCCATGATTACGACCGTGGCAAACGTTTAAAGGACTATGATTTAAAGGCATGCACCTGGAATGTCCGGACCCTTAATGGGGAAGGTAGGTGCCTCTGCCCGGCTGGTTGATGTCCTCGTAAGGAAAAAAGCTGACATCACCGCCATCCAAGAAATGCGTTGGACGGGGCAAGGCAAACAGTGTCTTGGGCTTTGCGACGTCTACTACAGCTGCCATGTAAAGGCGCGCAAAGTTGGAGTTGGATTTGTGGTGGGAGAGAGACTCCGTCGCCGAGTACTGTCGTTCACCCCGGTGGACGAGCGTCTAGCCACAATCCGCGTCAAAGCGAGATTCTTCAACATCTCGTCAACCGTCGGAAAATTCAGCCTCCACGACGAAACGTCCGACAACGGATTGAGGCTGATTGACTTCACCGGGGCCCGCAACATGGTAGTATGCAGTACTAGGTTCAAGCATAAAACATAAAACAAGCATACAGCTTAACGTCGAAAAGCTACAATCACAACAGACAGCCAGCGCTTTTGCTACTTCGCTACTCGACTCTCACACCTGCTCTCAGAGTGCACTCTTCAAAAAACCGACATATGCGAGCAGTGGAACCACATTTCCCGCTCATTAAGTACCACCGCCGAAGAAGTCGGATTTCAGCGAGCCCGAAACAACAACTGGTACGATGAGGAGTGTCAGGAAACTGCAGAGAAAAAATATGCCGCCTACAGGGCCACGCTGCGATCGGGCGGAACGCGCGCTATGTGGGACCGCAATAAGGATATGAAGAGGGAAGCGAGACGTATTTGCCGCAATAAGAAGAGAGAGGCCAAAATACGTGCGTGCGAAGGGCTTGAAATGCTGGCCGACAGGAAGAATGCCCGAAAACTTTACCGGAGATTTAGGCGACTTACGGAAGGTTTCATGACCAGGGCGTACTCCTGTAAGAACAACAATGGTGACCTAGTAACCGATGTCCAGAGCATACTTAAGTTATGGAGGGAACACTTTTCCGCCTTACTTAATGGAAGCAGCACGGAAAGTTGTGGATAAGAAGAACTCGAGCCCGCAGTCGATGATGACGGAGTCGACGTTCCACCGCCTGACTATGGCGAGGTACGTATAGCAATAACGCGGCTGAAAAACAACAAAGCTGCTG